AAATATTTGCTACTACCACATCTGAACTATTAATAGTTGATGTTAATTTTAGCTTCAAATTTAGTAGTCTAACTAATATACTTTGCGATAATCAAGTCTAATTTTCATTATGAATAGTAAAATAATCTTAATTTTTTAAAAACATTTATGATTTTTTCAACACTATAGTATGTATTAATTCATATATATATATATATATTTGTCATTTCAATTGTAATTACAATTTATTTGTTAACCTTATCAGTTGATGAAATTGTATAACTATATGATTCATCAAATAAAGGTAACATAGTTATTATTATTTTTTTTCATATCAGGCTTATTAGTTAGTCTCGTAATATTTTGTATTAAATAACTAAATTAATTATTAATCTTTATTATATAGTATCCCTTTATTGTTCATTAAAATTCAAATATTTATTTATTATATTATGAAATAGATCAGTCGATGAAAAATAATTATGCATTATTTTTATACCGACATTAACTTAAAATAAATAATATATTAATTATAATTATCTAAAAATATAGAAAAAATGAGTACGTACACCAATATATGCCATAAAAAGGTAAAACCATGACGATCATATTGCCTCTAATCTAATTTTTAATGAACATACTGAATACATTATTGATTACTATTTTATTTATAGTCTTATTGTGTCTGGTATAATCAAGCTCTTGCTTATTTAGTCTCATTATCAGTAGCTAATCTTTTTACCAAACTTATTTAATCTATTTTATTATTATTTTTTAAATTATTATATGAGATAATTGTTAAAGACATTATTAATCCATCTCAAGAGATAATTTCGTGTTTAATTATTTTAGTTAGTTATTAATTAACTATTAAACTAATTGCCAATACATCTCTAATAACAAATTTTATGTAATCAGAAAAATCAATAGACAATAGTATTTCTTCCAAATTGTCATAATAGGCAGTTTTGTATGATATATATATACATATATATATATATATTATAATCTCTTTTAAGGAATGCTTGTTTTGAGTTGTTTAGATTAAAATTTTGTTCTATTTCAAAAGTAATAATAATATTTCTTAAATACTTTTCATAAAATATTATTTAAATATATTAAGAAATATTTCTATTTGATAATATTAAATATAAAGAAATATGAAAATATAATTAATGCGTATTTTAAATATATTTATTTACAAGTTAAAATGTATTTATATATTTATATTAATTTTTTTAAATATACATATTTAGCAAGAAATTAAAACTTGTTAGTAAATTTTATTTGTTTTTATTTCATACAATTTCAGGCATTGATAACACATCGGATAAGTATATTTAACTAAAATTTTATTCAGCTAAAAAAAATTTATACTGAATATTATTATTTTTTGTTTATACTCTATTTATATTTAATAATATAACTGTCACGTGAAATAATTTATTAAAAATTTAATTTTAGTAGATAAGTTAAATTAATGATTAATTTAAAAATAGAGGATTAGAGATTTAATTATCAGACTTATTACTCTAGATCTTCGCTCTCACTGTCTAATTATAATTAATATATTCATGAATA